CGAATATTTCTAGAATGTACTTCGTCGCGGCGAAGCAAACTTGGAAATCCCCAAATTGCATAGTTCGCCTTTTTTTTGCAGTTTTTGTGTAATAACACGAATCCAAATCAAATCGAACGCACAAATATTCGACAAGGATATCAACCAACCAATATAACATTCATCAACACATTATTAAACCAATTTGTCATTTGAATCATTCATCCATAAGCAGATTTTGTAGATTTTGCAGATTTTTTAAAAATAACATGTTATCAACCAAATACATGTTATAGTTCATCCAATAAACTGTAAAAAGTTGATACCTGAGGCTCTGATACCACTGTTAGTGAATGACCCATTTATGCAGCGGAAAACAAAAACATAAACAACATGGACCGTTCCTTAGAACCAAGATCCGGGTACAAAAATCACAGCTTATACACAATATATATATTAAATCTGCAGAAAATCTTTTCAAGGTTTAAGGAATCATACGCACGTTTAGAGGCTCCTCCAACTTTGTCTTTGAACATTTTGCTACTGACCCAAGTGTAGGATCGAACCGGCGTAGTCCACACGAAGACAATCACAAAGAACTAAGGAGGGATTTGCTAAATCCTCCATAGCCTTAAGAATCAAAGAAGAAATGAAGAGAAATTGATTTTAGGCAAAAATCGATTCTGGCGTGAGAGAGTGAAATGAGGGGCTGTGTGCTTTCTTTTCAATGAAAAATGAGTGTAATGAAAAACCTTGCATTTTACAAAGAAACCTTTTCTTTTATAGTGATGTTTTTAATTGCCCTATTCCCATATGGAATAGGCTTGGGCTCCAACCCAAACACCCCATGTTTCCAAACACTCCCAATTAGAGATTTGTTTTAATTCATCGTTATCTTCAATTAAAATCAATTAATATATATTTAATATATATATTAACATTTAACAATAATGATAATTTTTTTAAATATATGCTAACACATATTTAAATGTAATTTCACTTATTTAATTTTTCTAACAAATTAAATAAAAGGCTACGACCTCAGCAAATTTAATTGCACTGTGAAATTACCAAAATACCCTTTTGCCCAAAAAGACGAAAACGCCCTTCTTTCTTCCCGAGTCGTAAATTATCTTCTATGTGTGTGACCCATAGGCTCCTCATCATACCGGTAGTGTATAGTATCGTGATTAACACCAATTAATCGTCTCACTAATACACAAACCAAGATTGGCCCCTAGCAAGGCATCATGGCCACCCGATAGATTCGGATTCAGCAAAGTAGCTACCTGTCAACGATATGGATCCTTTCATCATACGTTATCTCGACGAGACGAAGGCATAGAAATAGTGTCAACCTAAGGTTACTCTCGATATTATGTATTCAGTTTCTGGACCAATGACCTGTATTATAAACCGGATAGAGCAACAACTCAATCCCACTGTGGCCACAGTTTTAGTGTCATTGCCATATACTGAATTGCACCGTGAGATAACTTCTCCCATACCTGGGAGTGATGAATCCTCTGTCTATCCACCATAGTCTTGATACACTCCTTGATGCAGCCAATCACCACCGTACTGACAGCTCTGAATAGAATTGCGTTAGGCTAGTGTCAAACTGCATCAATCGGTGCACAAGGCGCTCTGTGATCTCAAGTCTAAGGATTACATGCACCACCATTCGTTAGAGGACTTGTTCCATAGACACTAAGGTTACCATCCATATGGAATCCTCTAGTGGGTCAGTCCAGTGAACTTGCTACGGTGTATTCACCTACAGTAAGCACCCATGTGTTGCACTAGGTTGTCACCAAACAACCTTGACAAGTGAGATCAGTCAGTGCCTTTCAACAGGGTTGTTCAACACTATGATAGCCTTGCCGTATTATCTGTGCCCTTACTTCAGAATAACACTGGGGCTACAGACATTTCCAGAATGGCCACCATATGTGCTCATAGGGGTCTCACTATCAAGATTTGAAACACTTGATACCCTCGTCATGGTTCTACCATTCTAAGGACATATATCAATACATAATAATGATTTACGCGATATGGAATGAAATGCCTTTTATTATTGATTAATGAACATTATTACAAAGAGTCAATTCTACAATAATTGATTGGCTTTAAGGCATCTACTCTAACACTATCTTGGTCTGTGATCATTGCTTTAGGAGCAGAATTTCCCATACAAGCAAGCCACGCTTCGAAAAGCCAAACAAAAATTTTTGTGTCCTCGTGGGAGATTAACCCACAACCTAATAATGTGGATTGGTCGTGATGGTTAAAACTGACAAACGGAGCGAACGACATATCATATTTGTTGGTTAAATATGTCGTGTCGAATGTCACAATGTCGCCAAATTCCCTAAATGTGGCCCTACTTGTTGCATCGACCCATAGAACAATTTGCAATCGACCATCATATCTAAATTCGTAACGTAAAAGAAATTGGGATTATCTTTTTGCATTTTCAAAAAATATTTCTGTAACGCAACAGCATCGCCATCACCAAGTCAGATTTTCCTAACTTTTTCAATGTAATTTCTATGAAACTCAAATTCTCAATGCCCCCAGCTTCAACTACCAAGGAATTGAAATTCTTACTCAGTCTAATCCCCGCTCTATCATTCACTTCAATCTTTCTTTTCGCATGCGCTTGTATAAATCTATTGCTCTTGAAAAATCTTGTTTTGCTAGACTTATGGTTCATGGTTATGCTCATAGATGATTGACACTATTTCCCATTTACCAACTGAACGTCTAGAGGCAGTACTATGAGCCTTGCAACCACTTTTTGTCAACATATGCAATTTAAAGATATTTTTTGAGTTACTATCTCGCTTTCCACAATAACAACAAGTAACGTTCGCATAAATCAACTCCCCATCATCTCCTTTCCTTGAAGATCTTATTGTAACTTCAAACCCCATTTTATTTCCATAGCTCTGGTAATATTGAAAAAAATTATCAAATGATTCAAAAAACATTCCAAGCTTAGGCTTGCCTCTATCTTCCACACTACTTCTATCCCCTATTTGTTGTGCATCATTACCCTATAGTACACAAACTATAATTGCAAAGAATTAGTATATAACATTCCACAACACCCACACACCCCCCTCCCCCCTCCCCCCACCCAAAAAAAAAAAAAAAAAGGTGCAAACAATACCATTAAAGGAATTAAGATCATATTAATGCTTAAGACAAATCGATAACAATTACAAGAATACCTCAACCACATTGATTTCTGGGGAATAGTTATCTACTTTTTTCTGGCTGCACTCTTCCATGTGTAAACCGGCTAGGATTGGTTGTGGGGGCTTGCTTATTTAATAAGTTTGCACATAGAAAAAATCTTTCATTACAAAAAATGACAGTAGACCATCACTTGAAGTACACTAGGTGCCAACCCCACAAATATTCAAATTTATTCCCAATTCACAAACCAAAGCTTCCTAAATTGTCAAACAAGCAACTTCATCATGACTGACAACAGAAGTCTAAATTAGAATAAGTAAAAACTTTAGTTGCATCTTTCTTCTACGATAAATTTGTGCAAGAAAATATATCACATTGGGCAATATAATACATCCTTCCCCTTACATGAATGTTGCAAATATTACACAATCATCAAGGACAACAGCCACACAACCCACACCCTAAGCAACAGCCACGAAATCCACACCACAAGCAGCAGCCACACAACCCACACCCCAAGCAGCAGCCATGAAATCCATACCACAAGCAGCAGACACGAAATCCACACCCCAAGTAACAGCCACGAAGTCCACACCCCAAGTAGCAACAACGAAATCCACACCCCAAGCAATAGCCACACAACCAACACCCCAAACCGATTTTGGATGGCCGTTGGATTCCGTGGGAACAAGTTGTGATCAGAGATTAAGCTGGGTTTTCAAAATTGACAAGAATTTTTGGGAGAAATTTTTGGGTTTCTTTGTTTCGAGAGATATGAAATTGATTTAAAGAAATTAATGTTTGAAATTTTGGGTGAAATTTTGAGTTTTTTGCAAATTAAAAAAATTTGGAGGGAAGTGACGTGGCATCCTAATGATGTGGCAATTGAGGTGGCATATGCCACATAGGATGCCATATCATGGAGTAAAAAAAAAAATGTGTAAAGGGTGGTGTAAAGGTAGCATTATTGAATATACAATTAATAAATAATAAAAATTGAAAACTAAAAACAAATACTGTACCTTGAAAACATAAGCAAATAGCATAAAGAAAAGAGATAAATGTCATTGTTGTAATATAACATAGCAAATATGGTTTAAAAATAAGATGAAGAGTAAAGATGAATACATGTCATTACATTAAAGAGACAATGAGAGAGGGAGTGAAAGGCTCAATAATTTTGCTTTGTTTAACATGTCCTCGGTGTCTGGATGATTACATGAAAACCTTACAGGTTTCAGATAAATACATTTTATCCCGCTCTCATTTCCCTTGAGATTGTATTATTTAACCCTAAACCCACAAAAGACTAAGGCAGTTTGAACCCTAGATAATCCATAAATGCTGCTACTCAAATAGCCCACAAAACCTTTCTTCGTCATTGTTATTCTTCTTCTGAAACAATTACTAAAACCATAATCTCATCTTTATTGACAAATTCATGTAAAGTGACTACAACTATACCAAAAGATTCAGTACATAACGTTGAAGAGGTAGCGAGGCTTGATAAATTCCTTCAAAAAGATTGTAAAGAAGGTACTATCACTCTTGATGAAGCACGTTATTTCTTTTGTTTAATGACTCATATGCAACCCAAACCACCAATTTCTTCATTCAACTAGTTGTTTGGAGCTCTTGGTAAGAAAAAGTTTTATTAAGACGTTATTTTGCTGTACAAGAGAGTGGGTTCAATTAGGTTGTTGTCGGATTTGACTACTTTGAATATTTTAATTAAATGTTTTTGTAATGTGGGTAGAGTATGTGATGGTTTTGTTGTTTTTGGGAGGATTTTGAGGTGCGGTTTTAGCCCAAATGTTGTGACTTTGACTTCTTTGATTAAAGGATTGTGTTTGGAGAATAGGAATTCGGAGGCTACGAGGTTGTACAAGAAAATGGCTATGTTTGGGGTTATGCCTAACGTGATTACATATGTGACTTTGATTAACGGGTTGTGTCAGACAGGGAAGGTAAAGGAAGCTAATGGGTTGATGGGATTGATGATTCAAAGAGGTTTGCAGCCTAATGTGGTGACATTTAATACAATGATAAATGGGCTTTGCAGGGAGGGGAAGATGGAGGAAGCTTAAAGGTTGCTAGAATTGATGAGTCAAAGAGGTTTGCAGCCTGATGTGGTGACGTTTAATACAATGATAAGTGGGCTTTGCAGGGAGGGGAAGATGGAGGAAGCTAATGGCTTGGTGGAATTGATGAGTCAAAGAGGTTTGCACCCTATTGTGGTGACATTCACTACAATGATAAGTGGGCTTTACAAGGTGGGGAAGATAGAGGAAGCTAATGGGTTGTTTGAATTGATGAATAAAAAAGGGTTGCAACCTAATGTGGTTACTTTTAATTCAATGATAAATAAGCTTTGCAAAGAGGGGAATACAGAGGAAGTTAATGGGTTGTTAGAATTGATGGGTCAAAGAGGTTTGCAGCCTAATGTGGTGACATTTACTACAATGATAAATGGGCTTTGCAAGGAGGGGAAGATAGAGAAAGCTAATAGATTACTAGAATTGATGAGTCAAATAGGTTTGCAACTTGATGTGGTGACATTTACTACAGTGATAAATGGGCTTTGCAAGGAGGGGAAGACAGAAGAAGCTAATGGGTTGTTGGAATTGATGAATCAAAAAGGTTTGCAGCCTAATTTGGTGACTTTTACTACAATGATAAATGGGCTTTGCATGAAGGGGAATATGGAGGAAGCTAATAGGTTGTTCAAATTGATGAATCAAAGAGGTTTGCAGCCTGATTTGGTGACTTTTAATACAATGATAAATGGCCTTTCCAAGAAGGGGAAGTTGGAGGAAGCTTATGGGTTGTTGGAATTGTTGAGTCAGAGAGGTTTGCAACCTGATGTGGTGACATTTACTACAATGATAAGTGGGCTTCACAAGGACTGGAAGATGGTGAAAGCTAATGGGTTATTGGAATTGATGAGTCAAAGAGGTTTGCAGCCTATAATCTGATCTTCTAGTCTTAAAGTGAATATTAGGACATGCCTTTCTGCATATAAGGCTCTGAAGCACCCATGGCAATCATAGCCTTACAAGTTTCAACCACACAATCTGTATTCGCTCAAATTAAATTCATGTTGTTGGTGACATATGAAGTATGATTTTCCTTTCTCATACATAGTTGTATTTCAGTTTTCAAGAATGTAAATTTGCATGTATCATGTATTTCAGGGATTCATTCCTCGCTTTGTTTTATAAGGTAGTATCAGAATCTCATTACAGTCTTGTTGTACATTAGAAGAATTCTTCTTTCTTGTCTGAGGAAATATACTTTCATTATCTTTGACTATATTAGAATTTTTTATATAATTTAGAACTTCTATCTTCTTAATCTTTTTCCTATTTCTCATAATCCATTACTGATTTATGTTCTAATCAATTACTAAATACTGTTCCAAGAGTAGATTTATAATGATATGATCTCAATTTCACTGAAGCTTCACTTATATGATTCTAGTGTGAAGCATCTAAACAGGGTGTTTCAGTTGATAAAAGAGAAGGGTGTTTTCATTGATGAAAGGGCAGTCGCTATGCATAGTTTAAGAGATGTATATTGAAGAGAAGAAGCATTTTAGACTAAAGAGAGTACAATTTTCAAACTCTTTTACATGAAATAAGCTGCAACATTTTTATTGAAATTTTCTGTATGTGGGGGTTTGACAGTAGTGGTGACAAGCTACATGTGTAGCCATGTAGCATTGGTTGATTGGTGTCAGGGACTATATTGGTGGTTTGTTGTTAGCAGGTTGGATAACTTAATCTTCAAAGAATAAATTAAAGCTTCCATATATTTGCAGTCTAAGAGCCAGGGGGCTCTCATCACTATATATATAGTTAATTTACACAAACGGCTTGTAATATACTCTCTATCTAGTAATTCTTTGAGAAATATATGATAAAATCCACTAAATAACTTTTATAAACATATATACATAATGTAAAATCCAAAATCCAAAAATTCTAATTTTAATTTATATAAATATATACACAAAATACTGATATACTTTAGTAAGCACAAGGTAATCTTGAACAGTGCCGCCAAACTCCTCTGCTTCTTGATGTCCTACCCAGTTGTAAATTATCTAGTACCTGCAAAAATAACGGAGTGAGCACTAATTGCTCAGTAAGTAAACCAAACTGCACTACTGTGTTTTCTCTGTTACTTATGTTCTGATTTTCCTTTTCTCACTTTATTCTTTGATAATATTCTTCATTCTTTTCTGATATTTTGCATTCTTTTCTGATATTCTGATTTGCTACTTATCAACGTGTAAAGACAATGAATAAAACTGTACATCGTCGAGCACATAAGAAATACTGAATCATGTAAGTAGCATAATACATATGCAGAATAATACACTTTCCTGCAAAAAGAACTTTCTTTTCTTTTCTGTTATCTGTCTCTTATGTTGCATCTCTTTCTTTTCTTCTCTGTTTCTCTTTCTTTTCTTTCTTCTATTCTGGTTTCCAATTGGACTAGGTTGATGCATGAATTTGGAACCCTGGCTATGTGAGTGGGTACAGTCCTCATCTACATGCACTACTCACGGACTATACAAGTATTATATCTCTCTGCTGTGGCCACTCACTCGTGACGATGTGCATGTAGGTATGCTCTGCTGGGTACAATCCTCATCCACATACACTACTCACAGACTGTACAAATACTATATCTCTCTGCTGATGTCGCTCGCTCGTGGTGGCATATATGTGAGCATCTCTGTCACTCACAGGTTCCCCATTGCAAAAACCTTATATCATAACATGCTGTAGAAAGAGAATAGAAAGAGATAGTATACACATTTCAACATGAATTTCCAAGCTATGGAATTTCTATATTTGCATTCTTTATTAAATGAGAAAATATACATATTTGCATGTTTGCTTAAAAGAAAATTACTAGTCATTTTCTTTTCTTCCTTTCTCATTCTATGCTAACATATTCTTTCATATTCTCGTTTACTAAATCAAGACTATACATATATATCATGTACACAAAATATGCATGATCAAACCCATTCTTTAATATGCTTTCCAAATTCACATATATAAACTTGCAAATTCATTATGGCATAATGGTATGTCATGACATATTCTACCATTCTCTACTATCACAATTACCATATCAAAATAACACTTTAACTTGCAATTCCTTTCATGTGCTATTCAAAAAGTAGGCAAGGTTCAAGTAGCTAGAACCAAACACTAAGGGCCATTTCTCTCATGGAACTAACATGACCAAGTGATATATTAAATTTTGGCATAACAATATGCACTCTTGAATACTAATAGCTATGCTTGGTTAAGCCCAAACATAATCTTCCTACTTCAATTCTTGCCTTTCTCTAACCCTTTCTTTAATAGGGTCTAGCCAACTCATGAATGCATTTTCTCTTTGGATTTTCATCAAACACTTCATATGCACATGCAACTAACATGTTGGCTACACTTTCACAACTCTCTAATTCAAACAAATTGTGAGCCAAAAACTCACTAACTTTAGTATCAAACCTGGGCGAATTCATCACTTCTCTACACTCCAAAAATTTCAACACAAAATCTTCCACAACTTCACCAAATCATCACATAACCATAAACTACTTCTCATGGCTAGAATTTATACATCATTAAACATCAAAAACAGCCAATAATTCCCTCATATCATCACATACAAACATGCAAAAATTCATTCAACACAAGTCTTGCTCAAATCAAGGTTCAAATTAGGTTTACTTACCTTGAATAAATGAGATCACTTCCCTTTGCTCTAAATCTCTTCCTCTTGGACCTAGATCATATAAAAACCATAAGAATTTAAAACTTTAAAGTTTAATCACACTCCTTTTGCTAGAATCTTACCTTAAGATGCTTTAGGATTGAAAATCTCTAAAAATCCAAACCAAATCCTATGATTTCCCTTTGAAATTTAGTGAAGAAAATTGAGAGAAAATGAGGTAAAAGTGGCGTGAACAAGGGCTGAAGATATGTTAGGGTTTCTTCAAATAAAGCCTTATATCAAATACTATAAACATGTATTCCCATTTTGCCCTTGCACTTTCTATGAAATTCCATCTATGTCCTTTAGTCAATTACTAAAATACCCTCATTTTTATTATCTTCTTCACATTATTTTGCTTTATTTCACTTCCAACTTTTTCAACTAATTATGAGTGAAAAGACCATTTTACCCATAATGAAGTTTTAAGGAATTTTCCTTCACATTTGTCTAAGGTAACTTCAAAGAAATCCAACTAAGGGTATTAGGGCATAAGTAAAATTATGTACCTTGATGTGGGTGTTACACAACTCGTCTGCACGAATGGCTTTGTGATACGTGCAAATGCAACACCTAATTTTACCTCACTAAATTATAATGCAAGGTCGTGTAGTAGCAAAGAGCGAGTAAGGGTCTTTCCCACAAAGGATTTGTGAACTTAATTAATTATCTACTTCTAACAGGGTTTGTCACGAATTATAAAAGCTCAACAAAAACTAAAAAAACTCAAAGCAAACAATGTAAATCAAGCAACTAATAACGAAAGAGAAATCAATGAGATAAACGAGATTTAAGGCTTATTCGCCACCACTAGACACGGATTGCATATAATAAAAGCACTTTTTAACTTTCTACCCTCTTGATCACATCAGCTTAGAAAATACCAAACGTTGATAAGTCCCATCTCTCCTTACTGAGTCGTTGGACTAGACACGGTCATAACCCAATTCCCTATTTATTAAATAACATAGGATACGATCTCTAGATTCAAAGTAATAAAAATATTAAGTTGCGAGAGACCTACTGAATCAAGGCTAAACTCATATGGTCGGTTTAGTTGTCTTGAGTGATTACCTCCCATGTATGCAGGCATACACTTTACCACTAGTTATTTAGGTTAATAAAGCAATTCCGTACTAAACATCCTAAATTGGCATTAATAGATTAATCCTAACAATTTAATTGGCCACTTAAACAATTAGAAAAATCTAGTTAGACCCTATTTTCAGAGAAATAATCACATAACCAAGAGGGATCCAAAGATAAAAAGATCCAGATTTTATTAAACACAAGAAATCATCCTCAATCACAAAAGAATTAGTTCTTCATGAATAAATATGAGAACATCATTGTATTATTCATAACAAATAATAATAACAAAGAAGAAAAAAAACTTAGTGAAATTTGGTTGGATTAATGAAGTTGATGATGATCTCCTCCAATTCTTCTTCTCCAAGCCTTCTTTAATCTCCCTTTTTCTTTAGTTCTTGAATATCTTTATTCTCCCTTTTTTTATCTCTAAAAGAATTCCCCCAAAATAATGCTAAAAGACTTCTATTTATATCCCACCAGCGTTAGGGTTTTGTTTTCCTTAATTCTAGCTAGTTTAGGACTCTTAAACCCTATTTTCCTAGTCAAAAACGGAAAAAAAAATTTCCAGCTATCATGACTGTGCCCTGGCACTATGCTGCAGCACAGTTGATTCTGAACAAAGTGTGTTGTGGCATGGTAGGTTTTGGACTAGGTGTGCTGCAGCACAGTGCTGCGGCATGGTCCAATTCCTCTGCTAACCTTGCTTCATTATTCAGCACTGTAGAGATGGTGATTTTTTTATCATGATAACGATGCAATATAGCGATGTGTTGAACATAAGAAATTTAGCCCGTTGAGTCAGCTTTCCAACGGTTTAAGAATCATCTCAATAAAATATCTACAGATCAAGTTATTGTCGAAAAACTGAGACATGCTCAAACTGGAGCGTAATCTAGAATTTCCTCTCTACTTCAAAACTCCATAACTTCTTCAATTCAACTCCGATTCTCGATCCGTTTGTTTCCAATCATCACAAATTCTCTCACCAACATCATCTCTCATCTGAATATTATTTTTGAGCCTTATTCCCTGAAAACACAACAAAAATACCTATGATCCCGAAAAGTGCGTTTATGAAACAATT